AAATTAAAGGTATCTTGTATTATTAGATATATTATTATAAAACATGCTTTAGTTAAGGAGTTATTGATACTTCAAGTGCAAAATGATGATATAAAACCTTGATAAAAATGTAATTTTAAGTACTAATCAATGTCCTTCGCTTGTCTTATTCTTTTGTATTCTTATTTTTACCCTTTTTTTTTTGTTAATTAACATCTCTCTCTTCCCTTTTTTTTTGTTATTGTTCTTTTTTCTCTTTTCATCTTTAATCTTAACAAAATTAAGGTAAGATTTTTTTTATTTCTTCTTTTTCTTGTGTTTTTTTTCTATTATATTTTTTTTTTAATTTTCTAATTTTAATAATCATTCAAATGTTGTTGTTGGAATGCTTTTCATATGAGAACAATTTTGTTGTATTTAGATGGTGTATTAGAACAAGAATCCCTTTTAGGAGCAAGAAAAAATGGTTTTGAACTTGGTTGATGTTTTCTAGCTTATTCTTCTAGTCATATATGAAATTATAAAAGACAAAAATGGTTGAGAAATCTCAAAAATCCCTTCTAAGAGCAAGAAAAAATGGTTTTGAACTTGGTTGATGTTTTCTAGCTTATTCTTCCAGTCATATATGAAATTATAAAAGACAAAAATGGTTGAGAAATCTCAAATATGACATAACTATAGTTTAACTGTAAGCATTAATTTTGTAGGCTTAAACTCATTTATGGTTTAAGAAACTATCCAAGATATTTTATAGAAGATGGTGTTTATATTAACAACTACCCCCTACACTGTTTATTATGCATGCAACTGATTAACTATACTCAAGTTTAGGTTACCTATCCATATAATCAGAAAAATCATACTTGCTGATAAAAGTTTTCAGATTTCTGATTTTTTTTTAAAAGAGTTCTCATGCTTGTTTAATAATTGTCATGTATACTAAAGTTCAAGTTACTCATCCTTATTAGCAATGTGATCGACTAAAGTTAAAGTTCAAGTGTTATTGTTTCAATGGAGTCAAATTTTCAAAAATCCTAAATAAAAATCCATGATTGATATATGGTTTAGGAGGTTTAAGGTTAATATTGACATAAATATTATTATATTAATAAAATTATTCTTTTACAAATTTGAAGTGTAAGGAAAAATCTTTACAGGAAAGTGTTGACAGCATTATTGCTAGGAGAGTTTGAAAGAATCAAGTTGTAATTAGGTAACATTAAAATAATATTAAATATTTTTAATCCATATATTAATATTTTATTTTTTATTTATTAACAAGTAATTCATTTGTACCATATAGGTTACATAATTTTTGGTATGAGGTGCAAAATAAAACAAAAAAAATATGCAAAAGAATGAGAGCTTTTAGGCTGGAAGGACGTGGTGGTTTGGAAGGATTTTAGACCTCCATATATATATATGAATGAAATATATTTAGCACGTGATGTTCAACCATTTTGTGCAAAAGTCACAATTCAATATGAAGAACCAGAACAAGCAGATTCAATGTTCCTTTACCACACACATTAGTGGATCCATTCCATTTGTTTCATATACGAAGTGGATGGTAAAAAAAAAAATTTTACATCTATTTTTTTAATTTGTTGCTTTTGATGAATATGAAAGCAAGATCGTTTGGTGGACCGAACAATAATCGGGTTTTGGTATATCAAATACTATAGCTGAGGACTTGCGGGCAATTTGGAGTGTTTTAAGTATGGGATGCTTGCAATTAGTTTTAAGCACTCAACCTTTGGAGTTCGAGTGAATTTTAAACCAACAAGTTGAAGTTTGGACGACACATAATGCTGCTGAGATGACAGAACTCTGTCAATTATACATGCTGAGATGACAAAACTCTGTCAATTATACATGGAGCTAAAATCATTGATAGATAGATAATACATGTGCTCTCCTTTATTAGCCCCATGTATTGATTTGTAATAATATTTAATTTTTATATTAATTTAATTTCTTTTAATTATTTTCTACTTCTGTTTAATAGATTTTTTTTTAAATATTGTTAAACCATTACTGACAGTCTTATCGACGGGTTAACTTCATCAATATATTTAATAGAATTAAAAAAGAATTACAAAAAATATCATTGTGCTACTATTTACTCATTGACGGTTTCATTTTATCAGTATTATTAAAAAAATTAATGCAATTACATAATATATTTTTTTTAATGATATGTCTTATTCACCAATGAAAATATCAACAAAATAAAAAAATATTGATGAAATTATATATAATTTTTTTGTCAGTGACATGGTGATATATCATATTCACCAATATAAATATTGATGGAATTATATATAGTTGTTTTTATCAATGATATGATATGACATATCATATTTACCAATAAAAACACTAACGAATTAAAGGAAAGAAAAATAATTTGTTTGTTTGGCACATTTTTATGGTATATAAATTTATTAGTAATTTTAATACAGACAAATACACTGAAAAACCATAAATCACCCATGATAAGTTTTCTAAGTGGTATTTCTTGTTGTGAACCTGTCTTTAAAAGTCGAGCAAACAAATTGTGTATAGATACCTACTACAAAATATTCCGTCTGAAAATTTAAAATATCTAGTAGTAAAATACTGGTGGTAAAAGTCAAGTCAAGAGACTGAGTGTATATATTCCAATATAATATTTTTCAGTAAAAATCGAGCCGGACAGACCGAGTCTTTAAATTTCTCTATTGTCTTTGTTTTTTATGTCTTAGTACAGTAACCGACGCTATCTAAGGAATGTAGTGGAAATAGAATTATTTAAGGTCTTTCATTTAATGCCGAGATCTTTTCAAAGTCTTATTGCATGTTGATAGGGTAAAACTTTTATAAGTTGTTAAACTACTGTATTTGAAAACGTATATTTTTGTACGTCCACTTTCATGGCGTAAACCAATTAATACTTCTATAATAATTGTTTGTTTAGTTACTTTATAATTTGAAAAGAAAAATTATAGCATTGATTATATATTGATATTTATATTAAATGAAACGAAATAATATTTTGAATAGTGATCATACTTCTATATTATTAAAAAACCAAAAAAATCATTTTTTTTTAACGTGGAAGGAGTTACAAGATATTTAACCATGTCTCTTGTGTGGGTATTTGAAAATATTTATCTCAAAAAACAAATTTGTTTGACATGAGTTGCTCAGAGGTTCGAAGAAAGCATTATGAAGAGCTATAAGGTAGACCTATCATGCTACAGATGCTGGAACATGGCCACTAGATTCTTGTAAGCTAATCATCAAGGCATGGATCTGCTGGTAAGGAAACCAGAGCGGCCTGAATTATGCTTTAAGGTTGTAGTAACTTTACACAAACAAGTTACATTACATTCATTTGCACAATAAAGACTTCAGAAATCCACTTTTTATAATACTCCTGGGTAAGGGGTGACATTGGGTTTTGTTTTGAGGGGAGCCCTATCCGAACCCTACTCCCTCAGTTTTTTGAAAAATATAATCATAAGAAAATACACAATCAAACTTTTGCAACAGATTAGTTTATGGTAATTGATATCACTAAGGGGACTCAATTTTGACTACTGAATCTGTAGAGGCCCAATTAAAAAGAAAATCTTCGAAGCTTTATTGAGAATTCAGTTATAATTTGAAGAACTATTTTGAGATTTGCCTAGAATTCTTTAGGTTGTTAACGAAGAACGAAATAAAATTTTCCATTTCATGCCTCTTCAAAGCCAAACCAATCTCAACACCACCAGTTCCCTCTCTACTCCTTGCCAAAGAAATAACTCCTCCCCTAGCATTTCCTGTAAACTCCACTTTGTTGGGTCTTCCCCATCCAAAATCCCAGCTGTAATCCTCAAATCTGGTGGATCCAGTAACCCCAATGATTTCTGCACCCGGTTCTATAGAAGCCAGTTCAAGTAGTCTCTCCTTAGCTCCTTCAAAAAGTCCTCTCTCTAGCCCTTTTATCGTGCCACTAATCCTCTCTGCTATCATTGCAACTCCACATTCCTCCATGGAAACTCCTGCCTTGATAACAATGTGCTGGCTGCTAATACAGTTTCCAATATAATTTTGTGGAATCGGAGGATCTAATCTGCCCCTACAATCTGCTGAGAATATAAAGTAAATCTTTCTATTATTATCCCCTCCTCTGGCTTTTACCATGCAAACTACTGTGTAAGCACATGTAAGTACAAAAGTTGACAAATAGTCCATTTGTTTTGTTGGTTTTAGCTCTTCTTTATGGACCTTTTCCAACTGGGATGATATTGTTTCCCTTAAGAGCTCTATGTCTTCACGAGTCAACTGAAATGTGGCTCGTACTAAGTCAGGTGACACTGCCATGTTTGACACCAACTTCAAGCTTCGAGAGTCGGACTTTGTATCCGACCTGGTCAGTGCCGACCATTGGTTCAAGAAGTTCAGTTCAAGTCCATATGCATCCTTGATAACTCCCCTGTCCAAAAAAGGGGTAAGCTCACTAGGTAACGAAGGTTGTTGATCATATTCTAGGTGTTTGCATATATAGGCCCATGCCTTGATGAAAGTTGTAGCAGATTTTCCATCAAGAATTCCATGATGACAAACAATGCTAATAGAAAACCCTTTGTTAGGAAACAATGTTATTTGCAAAGCGATCACTGAAGCTTTAGTGTCAGATGTAGGCAGCTCAGGGATATATGGAAACGATTTGATGGCTTGCCGAGTTTCATTCCCTGAGAGATGACTCAGGTCTGCATTTGACTCGGCTATGGTGAGTGAAATTGTATCATTTGGAGTGTATAAGAGGATGGGTTTTGGGGAGATTTCTGGCCACACAAGGTGACCAGCAAGTGGGAGAAAGTGGAATAGTGTTTGGGAGAGTGATTTTTTGAGCCTGGGGAGGATTACTAAATTGAAGAAGGTTGGACTTGAGTCGGTGAGCTCATAAAATATAATTTGCTGAGCTGGAGGAAATTTGAACCAAGCAATGTCTAGGAAGGTGAGAGGAAGAGAGAGCTCAGTGATTGATTCGGGTGAGTTGCAGGCCGGGGCAACTTGGCAGAGCTCCAGTATTTTCACAGAATCATGGGGAGCCATGAAATAAAAGCTAGATGCGATTAGTTGAGAACTTCGAAACTTGTTCATAATCTCTTATACTGTGTTGTAGCATTTTATTACTAGTACGAGTTACAATTACGATAATATAAATGTATAGGTTAAGTTCACATTAAATATCTGGAGTTACATAATAATATTAACATTAGAATTTATATGTTATCTATATCCGTAAACCATTTAATTAGCATGCAATGAATGTAAGAATGTTTCAAAATTTTAACAAATTTGTAAACACTTTAATTGGAGTATTGCTATTATACTAATAGAGTTAACTTATTAAGTAATTTTCTAAATTTATTAATTTTTTTTAGAATTAATCTTTCTATAATTGTAACTCATAATTATAATTATACTTGAATACTTTGCTATCAAAACCACCTGAACACTCCTTTTAACAAGAAGTTCTTGAAATGGATTACATCAACTCTTAACATACAAATATTAATCAATGTTATCAAATCAATAAAATGTTTTGAAGTTTTTTCTTACTTATAAATTAGACTTGCATGATATTATTTTATTTGCATCCATCAATTTTTTATCCAAATACAAAAATATATTTGTCTAAAAACCAAGGCAAGTTTTGGCAAAAACATCGCTCAACACTATTTGTTTTATTGGCATACTGATCATTATACAAAGGTTTGCAATTCATACTTATAAATAAATTCTAGAGCTTTCTCAATATTTGAAAGAGTGTCACACAAAGGTGAAAAAATGTTATGCAATAAAAATCTCTAATAGTATATACAATAACAATACCAAGAATATATGTGCATGGTTTGTTGTTTTTAATTATGATTTAATTGTGATGCATGTGTTTTTGATAAAAAAACAAAAATATTTTTTGTGTGTTGCATATGGGTAACAGTAACTAGAAACCGGTTATGCCACAGTTGTATGCATATGCATGCTACAGTGGCAAGGTGATTAATTTGGCAAAAACAGGTAAAGGAGGACTTACCTGTGAGGCAGCGACTGGAGGGAAGTGGAGGGAGACGACTAGGCGCTGCTCACGAAGGAGGACCCTGCTCGCTGTTTCCAGTGGAGACAAGTTTGTTGGCTGAAAGATGATTGTCTCAATGGTGGCCTTTTGGTGTTGCTATGATCAGTGCAACCTTTGCAGGGAAGAGAAGGATGCTGCTGGACGAGTAGCCTATGGCGAAGTGAAAATCCCCTCTGCTGCTACTGGCTTGCATGCTCAAAGTGGTTGAGGAATTGCAATGACTGGTGATGATAGCACCCCTGCTTGTTCTTGCTCCTAGTGCAGAGAAGAAGAGATATAGACGACTGGGATCAGCTGCTGGTGTAGAGACGAGGCTGGTCGTACAGTAGGGAGGGAGAAGAAAGGAGCTGAAATGGCTAGCTGGAAAAGGGAAATGAGAGGTGACTTATGTGTAGAGAAAAAGGGATGGGAGAGTCTGCGGCTGAAAAGAGAAAGGAGGTTTCTGTGTAGAGGGAAAGTTTTGGCTGAAAAAAGGGGAAATGGCAGTGACAGCTGTGAGAGGGAGAGCGCTGGTTCTCAAGGTTTGCTGGGGAAGGCAGCAGCAAAGGAGGAAGGATATGAGGTTGTGTAACAGGGGGAAAAGAATAGGGAAAACAATGGAGGTCGGTTAGGGCATACTCTGGTTTCTTTTTAAAAGGAGTGGGGTGGCTACTCTTTTTTTTTTTTTTCAAGAAAGATGAGAGGGTGGCTACAGCTTCTTTGCTAGAGAGGATAGGATTATTTTTTTTTTATTTTCCCTGCATTTCTTATTTTTTTGCCTCCTTCTTTACATATGGCTAGAGGTTCACTAATAAAAAAAATATCTACACATGTTATTCAAGGAAATATTGTAATAATTATTGCGCAAATTGTCTTTTATAACCAATACCAACAAATCCTATATATACGGTATTTTAGTTTTTTGTAATTATTTTCCATAACCAGCACGAATCAAATCATATATCTATGGTATTTTATATTGTAGTAATTATATATGATTCAGTAATTATTTCCTTGATATATTACTTTCTTGATATTAGCCAGACATTATTATGACATTTTCTAATCCAATCCCTATTTTTTCAATTCCTTCAACAAAACCAATTGCTTTCCAAAGTTTAAAATTGGTCTTTAATTAACCCAATAAATTCTTAAAACATTAAATCGGGTCCCTCAAATAAATTTATCTACATGTATAGATCTACAACTTTCATGGACGATTCAAAGTGAGATAAAATTTATTTTGAAGAATAGAATTGTAACCAAACTCGGTTGCAAACCTTCTCGCGGTAAGATTTTATGCTTTCACACTAGATTTCAAACAGGAATATCTTGAGCTTCTGATATCGAAATCAAATGATTCAAAAGTCTAAATTTATCTACACATCCAGGAATACAAATTTGATAGAGGATTCAAAGTGAAATAAATTCATTTTGAATAACAGAATTGCAAACAAACTCAGCTGGAAACCTTATCGCGACAGGATTCTATTTTTTCACGCTAGATTTCAAATAGAAATATTTTGAGCTTCTGATATCGAAATCAAGCAATTCAAAAGCCCAAATTCATCTACGTGTCCCAAACTACAACTTTGATGAAGGATTCCAAGTGAGATAAAATCTTTTTAATAACAGAATCCGGCAAGAATCTAGTTGGTCGAAAAAGTTATTGATCTGACAATGTGAACTATCCAAATCTGATTAAGAGTCTGCCCCAAGAACAGTGATCCTTAGGATCCCATAAAGGTGTAAGTCAATTTTCAACATGTCATGAGTGACAGAATATAGCTAGAATTGTCAGATATTATACAAAACCAAGTCAAATTTAGAGCTTAAGTTGGAATAAAAAATTATGACAGTTATAGAAGGAATACACTGTCAGAACAGTGATCCCTAAAACCAATTTTTTTAGTACTAATTTTGAGAGATTTATCCAACCTTAAAAACCAGATAAAGAAGGAATGAATTTAGCATTAAAAAGACCCCAGAAAAATCAAAGAAAACCTGACGATTTTGATAGTAAAAGGGAAGGATAAAGAGAGCAAAATACAGCTTAAACAGGTTTTTTTAAAAATATTTCTTTATTTGCTTTTGTCAATCTTCCAGCAAACATGAGTTAAACTCCTACACTTAGTTCAAAAGAGGTATACATCGTCTCCAGCACGTGGGGTCCAAAAATGAGTAACAACATTAAAATTAAAAAAAACTAAAACCTTAACAAACTTACATTGAAAGGTCATCCTTTCATTATGCCTCGTACTTGCAGGTGAATTGATTACACTGCGAAAGGCACACCGCCTCTACGCTGTGAAATGGCACTGGAATAGGCAACATCAGTTGACAGTGCAGGTGGCATAGGTGCCTTTTCTTTAGAGGCATCTAAGGATATATCATCCTCGTTGCTAGAAAAACTAGCTACAACCATACGTGAGCAACGAGCTGTGGATTTTATTTTATGCATCTACATAATTTTATACGAATAATTATATAATTAAATTTGAATGTTAAAAAAATTTGATCACACCTCCCCTATACTGGATACTACCCAAATCTATAAACCTGCAAATATTGACAATAGCCAATATTAACAATTACAATTCAACATAACATCTATATAAATAACATTCATACTAATTAGCAAATATTGACAATAGTCATAACCAATTGACCATATCTATACTAATATTGGATATAACATAACATCTATACAAATAACATCCATACTAATTAAAAGGTAAAATATTCAATAAATTATTCAATTATTATGGAAATACAAACAATAAAATATATTCAAAAAATTAAAAAAAAAACTCTAGATAATAATTAAAATCAATGGAAATAATTAAACATAAATCATGCAATAATAAAGTAAAATTACTAATTATTCCAACATATTCAATTACTAATTACAAGGTAAATTCAACATTAATAATTACAATTCAACAAATTATTCAATCATTATGTAAATACAAACAATAAAATATAATTCAAAAATTCAAAAAACACTCTAGACTAAAAATTAAAATTAATGCAAATAATTAAATACAAATCATACAATAATAGAGTAAAATTACTAATTATTCAAACATATTCAATTACTTATTCTAAGGTAAATTCAACATTAACAATTACAATTCAACAAATTATTCAATTATTATGCCAATACAACAATAAAATATATTCAATAATGTTTTTTTTTTAATATAGACTTTAGGAATGAAATATGCTTGCCTTAATAATGTGTTTATTTCAAGACTTTATCTACATTATAAAAATGCACCTGATTACACCTGATTAGTACTTAAAAATGTATTTTTATCAAAGTTTTATATCATCATTTTGCACTTGAAGTATCAATAACTCCTTAACTAAACTATGTTTTATAATAACAAGTCTGATACCATAAGGTACCTTTAATTTATAGTAAATGTTCATCCTAAATGCAAGCTTATGAGAATTGATTGATAAGTTGAAGTATTGAAATTGAAATGACAGAAAGGGCCAAACTTTAGAAAAGAGATGTTGGTGTAGTCCAAAGTGGAACACTGTTCGGTAATTGGGTCATATCAGGAGCTATAGATCTCAGATTTAAGTCTACTTTATATGGATAGAAAGCTACGATATAGGCATAAAACTTTAATGGGAAGCCAAGACTCAATTCTAATGTTTGGAAGTCCAAATCTTAGCAATAACATAAAAGTCTAAATCTGTCCTGCAACTCAGACACTATTCAGTGTTCAGCCCATATCTCGAGTACTAGAAATCCAAATGATCTCAATTTTTTTTTTCCTGCAAAGTTGAGATAATTTTCTAGAACTTTTATATGGAAGTCTAATTCACATTCTGACGTTATCAATAACATTTTGTTTAAACAAGAAGATAAGGATTGTCACCAAGTCAAGGTGTGGCTACCTATTCAACAATTAGTCATCAAATCAATAGTTTGAAATTTTAGCCTTTAAAAGGAGACATTTGTCATGCATTTAGGCATCTT